AATTCCGCTTTAAATGCAATACAGTGTCGAAAGTCAACTTTTGCATATTATATCACGTTTACAACCACAGACATGAGGATTTTATTTACTGGATTCTTTTTTATACTGAAAGTTCACACACAAGTAACAGACAACTTTAAGGTGAAAGCAAAGGATGTGATTTTTTTGATAGAAAAATGAAAAGTGAGCTGCATACAAATATTCATACAGGATTTTTCTTAATGCAATAGAATCCCTGTACAACACTCCTAATGACTGCTGAAAGTTCAAATAGAATGTGTAATCTACTCTCAGTATATTTACAGCTGTTCTGTGAGGGCCTCAGAGCTATTGGCAAACACCTTTTCCAAATTGTCAACCTGAATAATGTTTGAGGCCAGAGAGGAGTCATGTTATCTATTGACATAAACAAATAATTAAAATTAAGTCTTCTGTGATATGGGTACAAATTATCATTTGTCCAAAAGCACAGCATTTTTTGACTAAATACAGGTCAAGATATGGAGACAAGTTGCATGGGTGCTGCATTGGTATGAGGCAACTAGTGTGAAGCATTCAGGAGGATAAATAACAACCTCCAAATCCAAGGTAGTGTTTTGGACCAGATGTAAGTGTCTTGCCTTTGGCAGGTGTAGAGGTCTCTCAGCTCTTGTTCTCAGTGAGGTATGGATGAAGCGTGAGATTGACAGACGGTAAGTGCAGCGTCGGCAGTGTGTGAAGTGATGTGGTTGCTGTATCGGACAGAGGGAACAGCGTCTGCCGGCAAAGCTCAGGATTACTGCTCAATCTACAGTACAGCCCAAAAGTTTGGACATACTCTCTCATTCAATGAGTGTCCTTTCTTTTCATGACTATTGACTGTAGATTCACACCCAGGCTGTGTAAGGGCTGTTTGACCAATGAGGAGAGTGGTGGGGTGCTGGGCCAGATGACCTGGCCTCCACAGACAAAGGACCGGAACCCAATCCAGATGGTTTTGGGGTGAGCTGGACCACAGAGTGAAGGCAAAAGGGCCAACAAGTGCTAAGCATCTCTGGAAACTGCTTCAAGACTGTTGGAAGACCATCAATAAAAAGCCAAGAATGTGTGAAGCCGTAATCAGAGCAAAAGGTGGCTACTTTCAAGAACCTAGAATATGACATATTTTCAGTTGTTTCATAATTTTTTAGAACGTACATAATTCCACAGTTAATTCATAGTTTTGATGCCTTCATTGTGAATCTACAATTTTCATACTCATGAAAATAAAAAAAACTCTTTGAATGAAAAGGTTTGTCCAAACGTTTGGTCTGTACTGTATGTCCTCACTCTCACGTATGGTCATGCGCTCTGGGGAATGACCGAGTAGAGTACAGTAGTATAGCTGCTTCTTCTCCATGTTAAGAGGAACCAATTGAGGTGGCTTGTCTTCTTCCTGGACACCTCCAGGCAGGCAACTGCATCGACTCCCAGTACTCACTCAAGGGTCTCAGCTGGCCTGAAGAGCAATTAGCCCTTCATACTGGTTTTCTTGCTTCTGCCAGTGTTCCCCAGGGCAGCTGTGGCTATAGTAGGTAGTAGTTTATCACCACTGTGTATGAAGTGAAAAAATAATGGCATGTGAAGCATTTGAGTGCCCTGAAAAGAGCGTTTATAAAATCGATGCATTATTATTAAAAACAACTCCAAGTCTGTGACTGTCAAAAAAGACAATGTTGTGTGCTTATGCCCTCTTTAAAGTGATCCATGTTTGAGTGATATATATTCTCTTGCAGAGAGATGCCCACAGAACCAGTAGCCTTCACTGAGTATTGAGATTTTAGATGTGCTAAATATAGATCATCCGCTGGTTTCATAATCATCTCTCTACAAAAGCGTTTAAGTCTTATTCAACCACGGCAGGCCTATTAGGATGACGTCATTGCACCCATTCCACCCTAGTAACACGCTTTCTGATTCCTACAGCTGTGATGCCTTGTGTGAAGCTTTCGCACAGCGCAGCAGGGGGCTTCTCTGATATTTGGGGCCACAACGGGGGATCCACAACATGAAAGGAGGGATTTTGCAGCGCATCGAAGACATAGGGCCAACATGCCTCTGAGCGACGTCATGCTTATAGCACACAGCTCACACAGGGCTTTGGTTAAGACAAAAGAAGAGGTCAAGCTCGGATTCTTGGAACAGGAACAAAAGGGTTCATATATGCAGAAAAAATTATGCCTGAAGTTTTTTAAAGTAGGTGAGTTTTTTCGGTCAAACTAAGGGTACGGCTACACATCCTGCCCTACTTTAGGCCTGGGTAAAATGATAAACGCACATTATGCAAAATTCATCTTGTTGAGCTAGTTAGGTATACTAGATGATTCTCACAAATTTTTAGAAAGAACCGCTCTCTCCACAATTGTTTACAACCTTGTCATCGACCATGGTTTGACCCACAACACATGTGTTTTATCTTTAGGGATCTACTGTATATATAGATACATACATACCTATAATATAGATACATATATATTTATATTGATACATCTTTCCACCTCTTTCACTGTGCGTTCCTGTGGGCTTTTGTGGCTATTGCAGGGTTCAGACGAGGTGCGTCTTTCCAGAAATGTTGTGATGTCAGCATCTGCACAATAGTTCTGCTTCTAAACTACAGCATCCACGTATCATGCATTGAAGCAGAGATAGCTTAAGAATGCTACAGCTATAGCTCAGCATGTTAGCCATGTTCTCCCAATCTGTGTGAAATACATTTATCTGGTGCTGTGGTCGCTTCAAATGTTGCAGAGCATGGATCTATTATACTATCTATGTAGGGTATTACTAGGGAAACCTAATTTAACCCATCAAAGATCAATGTGTAATTTAATTTTTCATACATCAGAACCTCCTACTGATTTGACACAGATTGACAATTTTCTCTCAAAAATGGAACTTATTATGATTGGTGAAGAAGACCAAAAAATCTTTTACTCCTCATTCTTCCAAGCAGAAATTGCTAATACTTTCAATTCCCTGCAGTCTAATAAAGCCCTAGAAGAGGATGTTTCCTGCGTGAATGTCTAACTCTCACTGATTATCAAACACATTTAGCATTCAAAACACACACTCCAAGAAACTTTCACTACAGCTAGAGTCACAGGAATATGAACAAATAATAAAGACCTACTGAAATGTAAAGTTTTTCCTAAAATAGTTAATCCTGATCGGTTCAGGTTCATCCGGTTCAGAATAGAAGGGACCCAATGATGGCAGTAATATTAGATAAATAATAATAATAATAATACATCAAACTTATATAGCGCTTTTTTAGACACTCAAAGACGCTTTACAAAACATTTTAAATAAACTTATACTGAGAAGGCCTTTGACAGGATGGACTGGCATATCTTTTTAAAGTATCGATACATATAGTTTTGGACGTCATTTTATTGACGAGGTAAAATCATGGGGAGAACATGCAAACTCCACTCAGAAAGACACGGTTCCGGCCAGGATTAAAAGCCAGGACCTTCTTGCTGAGAAGTGAGACTGCTAACCACTAAGCTTGTTCTTCTACTGCGCATGTCCAAATGTACGTGCGAGGAAGTGGAGGTCAGTAGCAGAAAATTCACACCATTTTCTTCACGCGGCTGTGAACAGCCCCCAGCCGTGCAATGTATCGGTTCTGTTCCACTCTGGAGGCTGTTTCTCAACACTAGTGTTTTCAACCTCCTGGAAAACAGTTTCAATGTCAATGAAAGGCCAATCCGCAGCGTCCTTGTGTAAACGGCCTGTCAGACAGGACCCCAACATCAAAGACGTCATTGTTGGTGAAGATATGTCTGTGGGTGCATATGGGCTTTTATGTGAATTTACGCATGTTTTTTAACATTGTTTTTAACTTCGCACCTCGGCTCTTCACGTGACAATAATTAGAACACCTGTGCCTTGAGTTTAAAAGGGGGGAGGCGGAAAGCGAGACACAGGGCCTTTAGCGGAGAGGGGAGAGCCCCGTGTCCTGGCGGCTCAGGCCGTTGCCAATAGAAGGTTTTTAGCCTTTTTTAGCCTCTGTTTTGGCTTTTAGACCTTGTTTTAGCCTAGGTTTTTATTGTTTTTAATAACTTCACTTGTTTAATGTATTTCATAGGGAAGGGTTTGTTTAAAAATTATGGCTCAGTTGGAAAAACCTTTATTTTGGAGGTTTTATTGACACACCCCAAAACAGTGAACAGTGAAAAAATATGTACAGTGCAGGAAAAAAAACAGTCAAACAAAAACCAGGCTTCTACTCACTTTAATATTGCAGCTCACTCTCCCAACCCCCTAGAAGTGAGAACTCACTTCTTTTAACCAGTTAGCCCCGCCCCTGGGCTAGCCCATTACAAATTGATAGGGATTTGGAAAAACAAAGGTAGATGCAAAGGAACTCTACCCAATGTCCCCATCTTGCACCCCAGTGTGAACGTGCCTCCCCACTCACATGTATTAAGGCAAAACAGAAATGGAAAGTTTAATTAATTTACAAAACAAAGTCCTCTGGCCCACCAAATGCGCGCAACCATACTGTATATGGAACAACCAGGAAGTGCCTCGGTTTGGCCAGGGTCAGCAGTAGATCATATACGGAATCGGGACGGAAGCGGAAGTAAATATAGCAAACTACGTATTCATGCCTAAACATAACCAGCCATTCCAATAAAATAACCCCAACCCAGCCTTAACCCTAACCTTTACCATCTTAATCAGACGCCTAAAACTTAACCAGTCACCATTTAAGGACTTGTTAGTCTAAAACTAATTTGAAATTCGTCCCGATTCCGTATTCTAGTGCCAACCGTTTGGCCAGTGGATCGAGACAACGGCAGCAGGTAAGTTCTGTGTATGGAGGGGACATGATTATGTGTCTTCCCCGTACACAGAACTTGCAAGCTGGAAACCGGGTGGGCCACCGTAGATCCACGGCAGCGCGCAGGAGAGGAGCACCACATCCGCAACCTAGAAAGAGAGCACCACAACACATGATGCGAACAGGGGCAGACATGGAGGTCTGCCTGGCCTGTAAGTACCTGGGTGTTCACATTAACAATAAACTGGACTGGTCCATAACACCAACACCCTGTACAAGAAGGGCCAAAGTCGCCTCTTCCTTCTGAGGAGGCTGAGGTCCTTTGGAGTGAGCAGGCCTCTGCTCAGGACTTTTTATGACTCTGTGGTAGCCTCTGCCATATACTACAGAGCGGGACAGGAGCAGATTGAACAAGCTGGTCAGGAGGGCCTGCTCCACTCTGGGCTGCTCCCTGGACTCTGTGGAGGAGGTGAGGGACAGGAGGGTGCTAGTCAAAGTCACCTCCATCATGAACAATACCTCCCACCCACTGCACAGGACAGTGTAGGAGCTCCTTCAGTGGAAGACTGAGACACCTTCAGTGCAAGAAGGAGCGCTACCGCAGGACCTTTATCCCCACTGCGTTCAGACTGTACAATAAGTCACTTTGAGTCACTTGCACTAGGACTGAAAACCTGCAATACAATTGCTGTTTCTGCAATTGCCACTTTTTATTGTACATAACACATTGTGAGAAGACTTTCTTTTTGGCTTTAGCGTGTTTGCACACTTCTGTCTTTTGCACAAATCTTGAGTGTTTCTATCCATGCCAGATGTGACATGTAAATTTCTCCTGTGTGAGACCAATGAAGTCTATCTTCTCTTATCTTAAGTGTAGTGGTGCTCGTCAAAGGCTTAAGGCCCGAGGGTCGCGGGTGTGTGGTTTTGGGCTGGCCTCTGGCGTGTGTGTGGTGCAGGTGGGCCTGGCAGCGGCAGCAGCAAGAGGACGAGGGGTGCGCGAGTGGTCCAGCGCAGGAGGACGCGGCTCACCAGGGGGTGCACGGGGCTAAGGAAGCGCGAGGCACGGCAGAGATGCGGCGGAGGCACGGCAGGGACGAACCCCCTCCCCAGCGATGGAAAGACACTGGCATTTCCGAATTAGCAGGGACTGGTAATGTTAAAGGTTTTAATAAGGTTTTATGTGCGTTAACATTGTATGCATGTTTTTTGTCTGGACATCTCCTGGTCCTCCCGGTTCTGCACAGTGGATGCGATCCCATGATGCTTTGTGCCAAATACGTGTGTGTGGCTCTTATGCACATGCACAGAGTTAACATAAAACCAGGGAGTGATCACTGCGTTTACATGGATTCGACTTTTCCATGTAGTCAGTTTGTTATTCCCAGGCTGTCCAGTGGTCTTCGTATTTCACTGTGTCCTTGTTGATGGATTTCCAAATGTATTATCCTGTGTTAAAATCAGCCCAGGCCACCCAGAGTACAGCTGCTCTTCATTGCCCTTCAAAGTAGTTCAAATTGTTATATTTAGCCAAGTCCTATAAAAAGTCTGATGGCCCCTGCAGGAAAATGGGTCAAAACAACTGCAGCTTGTAAAGTGAGGAACATAGTGTTGAGCGAAAGCGGTGCCAACAGGTACTTTCAGAGAATACACTTTGATAATGAACGAGTTTAGAAAGTCTTGGCTTCATATAAGAGCAAACCTTTGAACATATGGCAGATGGTTGACAGTGTCCATAATGAGTGTCATACATGAGCGGACTTTTTGGTTCAAATTCAAACATTTTACCTGGAATGTTGCCTGGAATTTTACCTGGAATGTTACCTGGAATGTTACCTGGAATTTTACCTGAAGTTTGGAATCCTAAAGGCACAGACTGGTTGACTGAGGCCTTGCCTCCACATAGATCAGATGTAATAAATCACATTGCGTTTCACATTTTAACCACACATAGCGGCAAAAACAAGGGTTTTGGAAAAAGATTAGAATTATTTTTCGCCTTTGCTTTTGCTCGTGGACATGCAACACCAGTGTCCCACACAACAAGATGACAAAATCCATCAAATTCACTCTCAAAGTAGAACTTCCAACATCTGAACTCACATTTCAGACAGAAAAGTGGAGGGTGAAAGGATCACCCTCCGAAGTAATCAAACAGTGTTTGACAGGCTCTTTCTTATACTTTAACTAAGCAACAGATCACAAACAATATGTATTATATGTGTGGGGGGAACTAGGTACCGTACCTTTTAGATATTTAGAATATGATTTACTAAGTCATCAGTTATCAGTCAGCAAATGTATTACAACTGCATACATTTCATTTATTGGGCTATGGCATGACAGATTTTAATCTAAACATAACTTGTTTTTTCATGTTGCTCTGTTTTCATCAGGGGTTCTCTTTGCACTTGTGGAAAGACTAAACATGATTTAAGTCCCATACACAGTGTTTGACCCATGAGAAAAGTGTTGCCTCCTGAATTTCAAAGGAATAACGCAGATGTTGTGCACGTGAGAACATGCTGGATTTATCTCCAACATCTAAATTCACAGATCAGCCTCTTTCTAACACTGCCTCACACGTTCCTCTCATGTGTTGTGAGAAAAGACTTTGATCAAAAGCATCCAGAGCTTTAAAGTATGAAAGTTAAAACACTTTCTAATAAGATGCAGACAGCAGGTTGTGAGTTTTACTTTTACAAGACGCTTTCTGACGAGACAAACAACAGGTATTATTTATGGGAAGAAATTACACTTTTAATGCAAATTGGATCCAATTCAAGGGCTAAATCTCAAAAAGAAATACACAGAAGGATACAGACTCAGGTACTCTTCACAAATGGAGCTCTTCGCGAAAATTCACTGTGGTAGACCCGGCCGCTGCTACAAGCCTGCTCATCCTCTACTCATTACACCAGCAAAACGCCCACATCTTATCCACCAATAACCACCAGGACAGCAAGTTAAAAGCCAGAGACACCCACTTCCCGGCCTTCTGAAGGTTGCAAAGCCTCCGCCGCCCCACCTCCTCCTTCTCTCATCGAAGCGTGCTTGCCTACTGCCTCTGCCGTCACCAGTGCCTAGGCCCCGGGGGGGATTATGCGCGCGAGCAAGCGCCGCACTCAACAGCATCTCTCCCGGGCCTAGGGCGCCAAACATACTCAATCAACAAACTTCTAACTGCATTTTCCCTCTTGGGTCTCTCCAAAGTGAAATGTGGATGCAGCCTGTATGTGGAAACATACGGTTCACCTGGACTGAACCTGGGACCCTCTCGCTGTGAGGTGAGAAGCTTTTTCACTGTGGACTAGAAGCATGTGCAATGTTGGGCCTTATTTGCTCACAGAATGTCCCACTTGTTTCTAGGCCAGAATCATGTATAAATAGATTATTACAAATTGAGTTAGTGCTTTCTAACTCCAGGAGAATAAAAAAGCAGTATGTCATTGAGTTAGATCCAGGTAAGTGGAAGCCTCAGGTTTGAGCAAATCTGCAATTGTGATCCTAAAGCCTGGTTCACACGAGACGATTTTAAAATTGTCGGCCGATTTTTCTCCGTGTTAGACCCCACACGGGGAGATTAAAAATCCTGCGTCTAACCACTTTGGTCGTGCAGTGTGTGGTGCGTAGCCACACGGCAAGATCACGCAAGCCACAAACATCACACACGAACCGACACCCCCCCCGAGCATTCCCAGGTCAGACGGAAATCTCACAAAATCTCTCGAGATCAAGCGTGACTTCAGAGTAAACAGTCATGGCGGACGAAGAGGATGCAGTGGCGATAGTGTGCAGTTTGTTGTTAACAGAGAAGACACGTAATCCAAAGAAAAGGCAATGGTCAAAGCCATGCTGCTGTGTTTTGGTTTTTTTCCGGTGTTTCCTCACCGGCTTGTCACCTCGTCTTCTTATTGGCTACACGCCGTAGTCATGGCAACGCGCTCGCTTGTCCTCGGAGGACACCACACATGACAAGAATCGGGCCAAAACAATCCAACATGTTGGATATCCCCGATTTGAGATCGGGAGCAGTCCCGATGTCCTTCCGAGCGACGAGTGCAGTCTTAACACACCACACACGGCAGGATAATCTGTAAGATTTTGTTATGGAAATCGGAGCGTTTCTTAAGATTGTCGTAAGGGGTAAATCGGGTCTAAATCGGCCTAAATATCCTGCCGTGTGAACCAGGCTTAAGTGTGTGATCTGGAGCGTGTGATCCTGTGTGTGTGATCCCGAGTGTGTGATCCCAAGTGTGTCATCCTATGTGTGTGATCCCGAGTGTGTAATCCTGTGTGTGTGATCCCAAGCCATTGTTCACGATTATAGTGGCAGAGGAAACCAGAGCATTTATCTAATCACATCATTTTTGGACTCATTACTCATGCAGGCTAAAAAATTACAAAACATATTAAATACAAGTAATAACATATTACTTGTTATTTATATTTTAACTCTTGTTTCAAGAAACTTGTGGAAGAATCCTGATCCACTGACAGATAATTTAGCTTGAATTTTGCTTGAAGTAGCTATTTTTTCATGTTTTTTAGCCACATTTTGCCCTGTCTCGAGATAGAATCGAACCCAGAAGCGAGAGTGCTAATCATTCTGTCACTAATGTAAAACCAAGATGGCGGACATAAATACGAACAAATTAAGACATGGATGTCTTAAATGTCTTTTAATGCAATTTAAGGCGAGATGTTGATGGTACCATGTCTTTATATTTGTGTTTTAAGAGTAACATGTTTGCATAAAGTTTGGTTTAAAGGCAAGGCAAGGTAAGTTTATTTAAATAGCACAATTCATACACAAGGCAATTCAAAGTGCTGAACAAAATAAGCATTAAAATCATGAATAAAGTGGGGCGACAGTAGCTCAGTTGGTAGAGCATTGGCCTTAAGCCCAGAAGGTTGTGGGTTCAATTCCCACCTCTGCACCTTCTCCACCGACTCCCACTGATGACTGCTGTCGTTGTGTCCTTGGGCAAGACACTTAACCCCACTTTGCCCAAAGCCCCCACTGAAAGATCAAGGCTATGCTCACACTCAGAGAGCAGCCGTCCTCCTGTGGACTCACCACCTGCAGAGGGTCAGTGAGGGGCTGGTGCTATGAGACTTGGGTGGCATCTCTGACTGCCACCCCCCTGACCCAGAAATGGATTAAAGGGTAGAAAATGGATGGATGGATGGAATCATAAATAATCACAGAACAATAAAGATAAAAATATAAAAACCCTGATTTGTATGCACAGCTAAACAGAACTGTTTTAACCTGGTTTTAAACATTGTCAGAGAGGAGGCCTGTCTCACACTTTCAGGAAGACTGTTCCAGATTTTAGCAGCATGAATCTGAAAAGCTGCCTCCCCATGTTTAGTTCTGACTCTGGGCACTAACAGGAGTCCAGTCCCTGTGCTCCTCAGAGTCCGGGCTGGTTCGTATGGTACTAACATGTCACTAATATATTTTGGAGCGAGGCCATGGAGAGACTTGTAACAAGCAGAGCTGTTTTAAAGTCTATTCTCTGAGCCACAGGAAGCCAGTGCAGAGACCTGAGAACTGGACTAATGTGATCGTACTTCCTGGTTCTAGTCAGGACTCGAGCTGCTGCATTTTGAATGTACTGCAGCTGTTTTACAGCCTGTTTGGACAGACCTGTGAGCAGGCCATTGCAGTAGTCTAACCTACTAGAGACAAATGCATGGATAAGAATCTCTAGGTCTGCTTTAGACACTATGTTTTTGATCCTGGCAATGTTTTTTAGATGGTAAAAAGCTGCTGATGTTACTGATTTGATGTGGCTATTAAAATTTAAGTCTGAGTCCAGTATTACCCCTAGATTTCTGACCTGGTTTGAAGGTTTTAGGGAGAGAGACTGTAGGTGACAGATGACGCTCTCTCTTTGTTTCTGGGGACCAAAGACAATCATTTCAGTTTTGTCTGCGTTTAGCTGAAGGAAGTTGTTTTGCATCCACTCACTGATCTGTTGGATACAGTGAAGGAGTGAGTCCACTGGTCCCTGTTCTCCTGCAGTCAGTGAGACATAGATCTGAGTGTCGTCTGCATAGTTATGATAGGACACTTTGTTTCTGCGTATTAACTGACCTAACGGCAGCATGTAGAGATTGAACAGAAGAGGTCCC